GTGTTTTTCTCTTTTTCCTCTTAAATAAAATTTTAAAAAAAAAGAATCAGAAAAAAAATGGCACTCAGTGGCCAGCTGCCTAAACTCAAGTGAAGCATGGATGGCATTCACCAGGGCATCCTCCAAGGGCCAGAAAAGTTATCTAAGCAAACTGTACCATCATGATCCCTCTACAAGGACAGTGTCTATGTGAATGCCAACGGTAGGATTATAATAAGACTGCTCAGCTGGAGAAAGCCCTAAATTAAGGAGCTTTCAAGTTAACACAAAGAAAGAACTAAAGGCAAGTGAGCACAGAGGCTTTATTTAGGTCTTTCCCCCAGCTTAAAAGGCACCAGTCAAATGCAATTCAAGCTCAGCCTAACTAGTTTGCTTTACCTCCTTCGCCTCTTTAAAGAGCATAAAGCCAAACACAATCACATTCTGAGGTGCTGCAAGGGGACCAACATCAGTCCATGATCTCAAACACCTGCCTCCCATAAAACGCATGGAGAGAGGAGATGAGCAAAGCCACCCATAAGTAAGCACGTGTAAGGGAAGAATGATGAATTTTTGTGTGGAACTAATGAAATACAAGTGGAGAAACTGATGTAAGGACATCTTGAATTTTAAAAAGTTTAGTGATATTGACATGTCTTTAGCAAGACTAAGCTAGACAATCGAGAGGAACTCAAAATTACCAAAATCACCCTGAAACGCTCTATGGTGAATGATTATAAGTCATTCTGGAGGAGGCAATATAAGAGAGATAATAAAAGATCCCTGACTGACAGTGGTCCAAGGAAGAGGAAGGGCAGAAATGTTGACTCGGTGAAGGCAGAGATAATTTGGGACAGGAAATCTATTCTGAACAATACTGTGATTATAATTTTCTTTATGATTACATGTTTGCCAAAGCCTGCTGAAATTGAAATTGAGGTTAATGTAGCTTAATTCAAACCATGAAAATGAAAGTGCCAATAAAAATGGTGTTAAAATTGCATGTGTAGGGCTGCTGTGCAGTTCACAGTTGTGGCAAAGACAATGTGGAATGTTCCTGTAGCACTGCCAGCAACATGAGCTTGGGAGACTGAGGACAGGCACATTGTGAGACATTTCTTCGGCTTCTGGGGTTGTTTCAGAAGGACTCTCCTTGGGCAAGAGATTGGGTTCAGGGAGATGGGCCTGGAGCATGACTTAGAGCTAGCCCCATGGCCAACATCCACAGCTCAAAATATGGTTCCCTGTCCTATCTGACAAGACTTGTGCATTGTCCCACCCAGAGCTAGAACAAGTTTACCATATCTTCAGGGCTCCAAGATGCAATATGAACTTTGCAAGATAAGACAGCTTCAGGGGGTAAAGGAAACTGCATCAACAAATGCACACTTGAATCACAAGACATATTCAAGTGTCCTAAAACAATCAGGGAGAGAATGACTTGAATACACAGTAAGAAGATACTTCTGACTACCGCGTTGCTTTGTGGTAGGCATTTGACAAGTTGGCAATATTGGATAAAAACTCAAATCAGTTGCTCAAAGCTAAGAGATGCCTTAAGTCTCAGAAGAGAATTGGATTTAGCTTTTGAAAATTTCTGAAATTCGGCCAGGCATGGGGGCACACTCCTTTAATACCAGCATTCGGGAGGTTGAGATAGGAGGATCATTGCAACTTTGAGACCAGCTTGGGCTACAAAGTAAGCCCAAGGCCAGCTTGAACACATATCAGGACCCTGTCTCAAAAAGCCAGAAAGAAAGAAAATTTCTGGAACTGTTCAGACTTCAGAGAAGGGATTTTTTGTTTTTAGTCCTATGTGGAATGGTTGTATTGTGTTGGGATGAATTAGGAAATTGGTATCATTGTCTTTACTTGGTTTAAGGTTAATATGGCTTAAGAAGATCTGCTTTGATGTGGAATTAACAAAAGATGAGTTTTTATCATTAATCCTGCAGGTGAACAAGCAGGTTAACTTAGCAGTTCAAGATAGGATGGTCCTGGATGCATGTGTGGGGGTCATGGAGCATGAGCGTCAGTAATGTGTGGTCTCTCCTCCCTTCCCCTCTGCTGCTGATCCACAGTGCTGCTTCCCAGCCACCAAGAACCGAGCAGCGTTGTGCCTACAAGTCCTTCTGCCATGCTGGTTCTGCGTTGGGCAGAGCCTATCATGGACTGAATACACTAACTGATTAACCCTTTGTTCCTCGCAGTTGTGGTTATTGTTGCAAAAACATGACAAATAATTGCGGGTATTGTCTTGTGCTTCTGGAATTTACCATGGAAAACAAAGCAAAGAGAGAGATAGAAGACCTAGCAAGCCCACATGAGCAACTCTCTGTAAACAGCAAAGCATGAGGAAGGCCTGCGGGAGACTAAAGACTGTGGAGCTGGTCCCTGTGTGTGCGTGGATAGGGGCAGGAAGCTGAGGGCTGCACAGGGAGCACAGGACAACATCAGACAGATGAAATTTTGAAACTCCTGCCTCTGAATCACTGCACAGGCTGAGGCACCAGCTCATACCAGAGATGCCAGTGACCTACAGGTAATGGAGGCAGCAGGAAAAATGAGACAATATGGTTCCATAAATTGTGCTTGCAACCATCTGAAACCATCCTAGTAGGTAAGAACTTGCTTTGAAATCCATCACTATTTTAATGAATGTAAGCCGTGTACCAGAAATAGAATAACAGATATAAACTGAATCATGCAGAGTAACAGTAGATACACTTTTATCAAATAAGCATTTGTAGGCTACTTACATCCTTATGCATCTGTATTTGTGCAAATATGTGCATAAAACACTAATCCTACATATATAATATATAAACTAATACACGTGCACATGTAGGACAAATAGTATAGCCTCCAAGGACATTTTATACACTTTCTATTGGTATAAACTCCACACAGACATTTGGTAGAGATGTAAAATAGCTTCCTGAGTCCAAGAGCGTATTGAAGTGTGAAAATCACACGCTGGACTATAAAAAGTTAGATCAGTTCGTGGGAGCAGGACTCACCCCAGTCCTCTATGACTGCTCACCCTCTTTCCAGGCAACATCAATCTTTTAGAAGGGAAAGGTGGAGAGATCTGCCTCTGGCTGGTAAAGGGACCTGTGAGGAGGGCATGATTGCCGTTGAAGAGGTCACCATAAGCCTGGGCTCCTCAGCCTAGCCTGGGAGGTCCATTCTGGGGAGCCTGGGGAACAGTGAAAGTCTGAACACTGCTGTCCTGTCCCATGGCTGCCCCTGAAGGAGACTCCCAAGAATGCTGTTCTCCTTCACTCAACCCTGGAAGCCCCCAGGCATGTTGCTGTTTGTGACTGCCACTGATGCCTCCTTTTAGAATCACAACAGAGTGTGGTCTTTTCTGAGCTCCTGGTATCAAGAGAGGGGAACCAAGAGGGCTAGGCTCAATTAGAGGAGGAAGCCCTATCCCAGGGGAGTGTGCCCAAACAATCCAGATTTACCCATGTTGTCAGCCCTTTGCTCCTGGGAAGGATTCTCGTATTGGAACTCCTTTGTTCTCAGGGGACCCAAAGTGCAGACTGAGACTTTTTCTGAGTTCCAGGCTTTTTTCAGGAGAGGATTTGGGTTCAGATAGGTTAAGGTGAGGACTGAGAAAGGACTAAGGGGGCCCTGTCCCAGAGAGAGGATCTTAGAATATTTTACCAAAGCCTCTGCTGCCTGCCTTGCTCCTCATGTGGGAGCAACATCTAGGGCCAGGCTCAGTGAGGTCAAGCTGAGGGGCTGTGCGGACCAAGGAACCCCTCCCCAGGTAGAGGACCCACAGATGACCCAGATCCACCTCTGTTATCAGAGCCACACCACACTGGGGGAGATTTGGGAGGATGAACCCCTCTTAATTGTCAGCACAGGGGCCCAGGGAGTCACAGCCCTGTCCTCAGGTCTGTGCCCTGTGGGGAGATGAAGCAGGACCTGGGCTCAGTTAGCTCCTGGTAAGGGGTTCTCTGGGGGACTGAGGAAGCCCCACCCTGATGGTATCTCAGAATAATCCAGAGCTGCCTCTGCTGTCTTCTGCTCCCTAGGGCAGGATTTTTAGGTGAGTGCTCATTTTACCCAGGAGACCAACCTGGACAATTAAAGCCTTGTTCTGAGGGTCTGCTTCAGGCGGCAGAAAAGACAGCCTGGGCTCAGTTGTCAGCTTCAGGCTCTTAAACTGCACACACGGAAGGCAGATATGATAGGATAGGCCTCTAGCCCATGTCTGTCTCAGGTGACCTGGGAGTCAGAGCCTTGTTCTGAGCTCTGCCTTTCAAGTGGGCTGCGAAGATAGGACCCGAGATTGCTTGGGTTAATTCCAGGCCTGAGGGTGAGAGGGCAAGCCTCATGTGATGCTGACAGTCTGAAAATAACCATATCTGCTTGTGTTGACAGCCCTGTAGTGTGCAGTATGGAATTACCAGGTGAGCACCGCCTTTTGTCTTAGGATACCCCTGAAATTCAGAGTCTGATTTTGAGTTCCCTGCGTATAGTGGGAGCAGAAGAGAGGAACTGGGCTCAGATAGGTCAAGATGAGGGGCTGTCGGTTAAGTGTGGAAGTCCTGACCCAGGTAGCAGGTCCCCAAACAATACATGCCTGCCTGTGTTGTCAGCCTTGTACCTGCAACACACTCGTCAGGGCACTGCACTTCTCTACCCATGCTCATGGCGACCTTTCTGCATTAGAAATCTCCACACGTCAGACACTTTGTCCAAAGGGGAGCGCAATGGGGTTAAAGTAGGATATGGGTTCCTGTTTTGGCAGAGACCAAAGAAAGGCTTGAGAGAACATAGAGCGCTCCAAGACAATCCCTTAACTACCTCCTGTCAGCCCCATGAAATCCCCTACAAGATACTTCACTGTGTGGCATCCAGTGACTTCAGCATGTGGGGTCAGAGAGAAGTGATAGCCTTGTTCTGAAGTCTACCCTTCAGGTGAGAGGCGCAGACGCGGCTGTTACCAGTTGAAGTGAGCTCCAGAAAGGAAGTGAGTTAGCCCCACCCCAGAGGGAGGGTCTCTGAACTACCCAGCTCCCTCTCGTTCTTAGACCTGGATCACACAGGAGCAGGCTTGTCAGAAGGAGTTTTCTCCCCACTTCGGCCTCAAGGGACCTGGAAATCAGAGCTTTGGTATGAGATGGTACATTCAGGTAAGCAGATAGGGGGGTTCAGGCTCTGCCAGAAGCCAAGTTCCAGACCTATACGAGAAAAGGAAGGCATCCATTACAGCAGATTAGAGAGCCCCATGGGAGAGCTGCCTGCCCTAGGTGTCAGCTGTCAATCCTTGAGCATGGTGCCCGGATACATGCTCTCCCAGTTTCAATGAGTGAGGTTCTGAGTACGGTAACAGTCTGTCACAGAGATCATGCTGTGTGCTCCAGAACTGGAAAGACTGCACAGAAGTCTTTCCCTGCTCTGAGTCCAGGGAAGCACCATGCAGGTGATTCCTGACTTCTGCAACAGAATTTGAGGACCTTAAGGTCTTTAATGAAGTAACAAGGACTTGAGGAAAAGGGGCCATCGGCCCTGGCTCAGTCAAGATGAGAAATGTGGCAGGACTGTGGGCTCCAGGACACATGACAGATGGGACGCAGCTTGCCTAATCTTTCAATCTGAGTGCTGTCCTGCATTCCCACCTAGAACCTGAGGGAGGAGGTTTCGGTTTCTCAGAGGGCTGGGGCTGCTTCCAGGACTCAAGAGGAGGAATAATAGGGCCACTGAGGGGACACTGGTCCTTAGATCAGAGGGGGGTGCCCTGCTTCCAGATAACAGCACTTAGGGGATGCAGTGCAACTTTGCCCCTGGCTCTTGGTACCAGGCAGGTGGGGGCCTTGGTCTGAGCAATGTGGCCTCAGGTCAGTAGATCCAAGATCTGAGAAGCCTGGCCCTGCTGGCAGGCTGAGGGGGCCTCAGGCAGGACTGTGGAAAAGAGTCACCTGCCCTGTACTTCCAGTTCTGCTGTCCTGTCCTCAGGAGATGGTGGACTTGTTTTGTCAAATGCATTCACAGGTCAGCAGGGGGGGGAAATGTGACCTCCTGGGCCTGCACCAGATGAGGGAGGCCCTCTGGATTCTGCTCATTCTGTCTGGGGAAACGCTTACAGAAGTGTCCGGGTGTGCTGCACTTTTGTCTCCCAGGTCTCAGGGAGGTGACCTTGCTTTGAGGATCTTTACCGGTTCACGGGAGGAGACGCGTCCTGTTGGCAAAGGGAGCAGGCCACGATCTGCTGGGAATCAAGGAGAGGAACCCGGGTGAGGAGTGAAAGTGTTTTCCTTCTTATTGGTGTATGTTTATAATACATAATGATTACATTCGTCAGTGGAGTTTGCACATGTACGTGACAGACCTTATTTCGTTTTTCTTAACCTGTTCCCATCACCTCCTTCCCCTCGCTTTATCTTTTATTCATATATGTATATATACCTTGAATTGCAAGTAACTTGTTCTTCAAATATACTGCAAGATCATCAAATATTTCCAGTAAATTTTAACTTGATAAATGAGCAATGTCTTGCAGTAAAAGTAGTATGAGAAACTTGTCCTACACAACAGCTGTCTTCTCTAGCCTCCCTTATAGCAGGCATGAATAAAGATAAAGACAGGTTAATTTGGTTTTTTAAATTTTTTCTTTGTTTTATATTTTCTTTATTAAGAAGTATGTTGGGGGGCTGGGGATTTAGCTCAGCGGCCTAAGCACCTGCCTTGCAAGCAGGCGGTCATGAGTTCAATCCCTGGTACTGATTAAAAAAAAAAGAAGTATGTTGGGCTGGGGATTTAACTCAGTGCCACAAACGCCTGCCTGGCAAGCGTGAGATCATGAGTTTAATTTCCCGATACCACCACCAACAACAAAAAAGTATGTTACCGTATTGGCATTGCCATCTGAGTTTCCATTATTTCTTATGGGGAAATTCATATATATATATATATATATATATATATATATATATGAGTGATTTGGATTACAAGAACAAATTACAATTGTAAATCAAGTTCTCTCTCTTGTTCGCTTGCTCTCGCTCTCTCTCTCCCTCTCTCTTTCTGTGTGTGTGTGTGTGTGTGTGTGTGTGTGTGTGTGTGTAGATTATATAAAGATCACATTCTTGCTGGGGATTTAGCTCAGCGGCATAAGCACCTGCCTTGCAAGCAGGCGGTTGTGAGTTCGATCCCCAGTACCGATAAAAAAAAAAAAAAAAGATCACATTCTTCATAGGAACTTGGTTGTATGTGCACACTTCCCAATTTCCCCCTTTTTATCTAATGTTCCTCCCCTCTTTGCTCTCGCCACACATTCTCCATCTCTTGGCACTAGAGACTGAATTTAGGACTTTGTGCTTACCAGGCAGGTGCTGTGCCACTGAGCTGTATCCCTGGCCCTCTTTCTCCATCTCTTAATTTCCTTCCAATATGCTGAAGATCTAGCTCAGTATCTACTATTAGCTATCAAGTCAGTGTTAGACATTGTTACATTTTACGTCTTGAAACATTTCACTCCAGCCCTTTGAGCTTTATAATTTGTGTTGGGGATTCGGCTGTTATTTTAATGGGTTTACCTCTACTAGTGGTTCATTTCTTTTAACTAACAGCTTTTAACATTCCTTGTGTTGGAAAAATAGTATTTTTACAACGATATGATATGGAGAGGTTCTTTTCTGGTCATGGCTGTATGGAGTTACATATGCCTCAATTACCTGTTTGTCTGTATATATATTTTTTTAATCGGTACCGGGGATCGGAACTCACGACCGCCTGCTTGCAAGGCAGGTGCTTATGCCGCTGAGCTAAATCCCCAGACCCCTGTATATGTTTCTGAATTGGAGGAGTTTTCTAATATTATTTCTATAAAGTTTTTTAAGCCATCTGTGCTATGTTTACATTTCTTACCTAATCCAGTTACTCTTAGTTGTTTTTTGGGGTTTTTTTTGCAACATCTAGTATCTGTTGGATCCATTTTCAAATTTCTCTTTTTGCTTTTAAAGTGTCTTTGAACTGCTGGTCCTTCAAAGGGTCCCTGTCTTCTATTTTGGTTCAATATGGCTCACATCTGCTGTGCATACTTTCAATATATTTTTTAATCTCCTGGATTTCTAATTGAAAAGTTTTCAAGGACTCTAATTCTTTTCTAAACTGTTCATTCATATTTTGTATCATTTTTTTAGGTCAGCTTGCTTTTTATCAATATATTTTAAAAATTCTTTGATCATTTTGGCTATTACTTCCATTGTCTGTTTACTTATATCTTTTGTGATCCTGGCAAAAATACCTTTGATCTGTTTTCTAATCTCTTCTGTGGCACTGCAAGTAATTGAAGTGTGTGGCTTCTGCTGTTTCCCCCTCCAAGCCCCACATACTGGCTTTGGCGCAGCTGGGAACTTTGCAAGGCATTTTGTTGCCTTGTCTTCTCATGTTTCTGTTGTTTGTTTTGTTTTGTGCTGAAATGTATGGCTGTTAGATTGCAAAGTCTTTTTTGTTACAACAGAGATCTGTTTAGTTTGTTTTCAGTTATGTACTTCAGGCATAGGTAACTACAGTCCTTTACCTCTTCCCTAAGATCTGAACACCTGTGTTAGTTTGGGAGGGGAGAATTCAGTATAATTGGTTCAATATCAAGTTGTCTGACAACGTGCATCAGTGTTGCTAAAGTCACAAAGATAATCTGAATATTTTCATATAGTTAAACCTATTAATGACAATCATGAGACCCTGGCAATGTCAGGCTACAGTGGTATCATCCTAGAAAACTTGGATATTAATATACAGTAAGAAGTAATTGGTTATTACATTTAACCATTGATTAGAAATCCACAATTATAATACAAATATTAAGACAACCCAGATATTGATATACATTTAATATGCACTAAATATGACAACTGTAGCACAGCTAATGGTAGAAAAAAATTCAACACTAATTTATTCAGTGAACTATATAAAAATTAATAAAGCTTGATGGTTATACTAGTACGTACATAATGGTCAGAGAAAGTTGGCTCTCAGAAAGAAAAATCTGAAAGCTCGAACTACAAGACGTGAGGAGGAGGGGAGACAAGGAGCACAAAGTTGAGGGTCACATTAAAAAAGGGAGTGAAGAAGAGAAATTATATGGAGAATCAAAATAAGGAAAAATTAAAACAAAAAGAAGGTAAAAACAGAGGTGTGGCCGGGGATTTAGCTCAGTGGCATGAAAGTCGTAAGTTCGATTCTGGGTACAAAAACAACAACAAAAAAAGAGGTGTGAGAAAAAGTAAGAAAATAAAGAAAAAATGTAATTGTGATTTTAATGGTTTCCTTTCAGAATCCAGAAGTTGGGAGTCTAACAATTCTCTGTTTTCTCAGAGGCCTCTCTGCTTCTCTCAGGCTGTGACAGTGTCCAAGTCAAGGCAGGTTCCTGATCCTCCTGATAGATAAAGAAGGCATGCAGCCCCCAGATCGGAGCTGGATGCAGGCAGAAGGGCAAGGAGTTGAATAACAAGTGCAGAAACTTTCAAATCCAGAGCAACTCAGGCTGAGCCGACCTCGGTCGGGGTGGGGGGCAGGCGCTGTGCCATTCCTAGCTGAGAACGAGCTTCTCAGCATGTCTCACAGCAGCCTCTTTCCTGTCCACGCTGCTGCTCTCATCCAGTCACTACGGGAGGGTAACAATGGGAAGCCTGAAGTAAAGCTGTCTCATGGCTGTTCTAAGGCCCCAGTTCAAACACTCCACCATTGCCCAGAATGGATCCCATGCAGTCCCCAAGGATACGGTGGGCATCTGTCCAGGGGTCCCTCACCCTGCTGTGTCCTGTGCATAGATTCTGAAGGAGCAGAACTCCACACTGTCTCTGCAACTCATAGCAACCACTGTGCCACTGAAGCACCTCCTTTTTCCCTGCAGTGACACCAGGTTACCCTTTGGTTCTGCATATTCAGTTGCTTTTCCATGAACAAAGAGCAAGGGAGAAAGTTCAGACTGATTTGTTTTCTTCTCTGCAATTGGTCTTTCTCTTCTGCATCTCTGTAGTCTTTACTTTTCCTGTCATTTCCTTTCAGATTTCAGGGGTATGCTTCTCTTTTGTTTTTCCTTTCTTTTCCTCCCCTAGTTGTGACTTTCCAAAGTCTGGGTTCCAAATCTTGGAAAGTCTGAATCGCTGCCACTCACTGCTCTCCCATTTTCCTGCATAAAAGATACAAAGGTAATCCACATCCATGAAAATAAGGAACCCTCACAGAGATTGGCTTCTCCTGCTACTAGCCTAGAGTCCCCAAAAAGGGGGACAACATGCGAATTGCTCACAGTTCTGCTAAATGGCTGTAGGAGGGTGCACTCCAGGGAGTGACAACCTTGGTCCAAGAGGTAAGCATAAGTCAGCAGAGGGAGCTACATAAGGTCAGCAAGAGGAGGACCCCCAGCAGATGACAGGCCCAAACTGTGGACCCTTCCTGAGGACTGAAGGTGTTCTCAGCCCAGAGACAACAGACCCCACAATGTTTTCCTGTCCACTGGGTCAGCCCTGGGAAGTCCTAAATGGCATGCTCACTTCTGTCATGGGCAGGAATGTGAGTTATCAGGGAGATGGGATGCTGGTCTCAGTGGGGGAGGGCATTTCTTCTCTGGAGGGATGGTGATGAAGAAAATTAAAACCCAGACAAGAAGTAGATGAAAATCTTACAGAAGCACATAGGGCTCCTTCATCTCTGAATATACGGGCACAGGTCCTGCTGTCAGCCATGGAGTCCCTGTGCACAGGCTATGGGTTGGCTGCCTGCTCACTTTTTTTGAGAATCCTGGAGATCTCTTGCAGTTGAGGAACTTGATATGAGAGAGCATCTTCATATTGGCACAGAGATTCCCATTTGGTCATCAGACCCAGCAATGCCTAGGTCTGCCAAGAGCCAAAGCAATGATCTAAGAAAAGACTGAGGGTACCCTGCACAGAACTCAGAGACATGGGTGCTCCACCTGCACCCTGTACCTGTGACTCTTCCCAGAAAGTTTAGGAAAGGCTGTAAGAGACTGAGGCCACTATCTCATTTCTGGGTTACTGGTCTCGGGGAGGTGAGGGCTTCGTACAAAGGACCTGGACTCGAGAAAGCAAAAGTAGGACCCTAGGCTTTGTCAGGAGTCTAGGTGAAGGCAAAGTAAACCCCTCAACAGAATACACTGCACCCTAGCATCAACCTGCCCCTTCTGTCATCTGTCATCAGACCCACGGAGCAAAAGTGGACTGGCTCCCATTCACTTCTTCCTTGAATAGCTCGCAGAGATGGGGCTATGGTTTCAAGGAGATTGCCCCAGGTCATCCTAAGGAGAGTCATAGGCCTAACCATTTATCAAAATAAGGATACAAGCCAGGCGTGGTGGCTCATGCCTGTAATCTCAGCACTTGGGAGGCTGAGGCAGGAGGATTGTTGCGAGTTCGAGATCAGCCTGGGCTACAAAGTGAGTTCAAGGCCAGCCTGAACTGTACAGTGAGACTCTGTCTCAAAAAGACAAAAAAAAAAAAAAATAAATAAAGATACAGCAGATTCCCATCCTGTGGCATACGTATTCCAATGAATGTTTTAAACTTGAGCTATTGCTCCCAGACAGCTGTGGACAAATGTGTATTCCTCTTACTGTCTTTTGTCCCCTATCATAGGAGATAATTTTACTGAGTGTTTGCCTCAAGCCTGTAGAGGGCTGGGGCCCAGGTCACGCTCAGTGACAGTTGTGTGCCCTGAGTGAGCAGAGAGGGAACCATCCACACAGAATAGTGTGGACCTCACAGAGTCCAGCCCACCTTTCCTGTGAAGGCTGGAGAAGCAGGACTGTGCTTGAGGTCTGCAAACTGAGGGCCTCCATGCCTTCTATAAGAGCTCCAAGAACCCGATAGTTGAGGTCTTGATCTGGAGCAGTTTCCACAGTTCACACAGCACAGGAGGCCTAAAAGAATAGAGAGAATTCCTGGAGCCTAGGCCCCACTTCCCCATTGCCTGCCCTACAGCTTGTACTGTGTGATAAAACTGCAGCCTGCGGAGCATTCTCACTTCCATCCCAGGGTCTTAGAGACAGTGCCTCCAGAGGAGAGTAGTCTGTAAAGCCCCGGAGCATCACTAAAGAGAAGGCCAGGACCTGGGCGTTTGGAGACCTAACAAGAGTGTTGTTCTCGGGGGCTGGGGGTTTAGCTCAGCGGCATAAGCGCCAGCCTTGCAAGCAGGCAGTCGTGAGTTCGATCCCTGATACCGATAAAAAGGAAAAAGACAAAAAAAAAAAAAAAAAAAAAAAAAAAAAAAACAAACAAACAAAAAAAAAAAACCAGAGTGTTATTCTCAACTGAGAATGCTCACAGTCTCTGTCTCTCCTCCAGGCATCTGAGTCCTCATCAAGTCCTTAGGCTGAGACGCCTAGTTGTCCCCAGCGTCCCGAGTGATCACTCCTCCCTACAGTCATGGCCTTCAATCAAATGAGTCAATCTAATAATGGCTCCAGCAGGCAAGATGAGAAGGATGCAGGTAGCTTGCAGGATATGCTGGGCCCTCAGATCTTGAATCATGTGGCCCTAGATGACAAGATAACTAAATTGGTGTCAATCTTGCTGTTGAAATATCAAAACAAGGAGTTTATCACCAAGGAAGAAATGCTGCACAGTGTCGACGAGGATTACCAGGAGTTCTTTCCTCTGATCTTCAGGGAAGTCTGTAAGTGTTTGCGGCTGGGATGTGGCGTTGATGTGAGAGAAGTGAATCCCCCTGGCCACATATATGTCCTCATCCCTATGTTGGGTCTCACTTATAATGGGATGTTGGATGATGTAGAGGTCATTCCTAAAATTGACCTCCTGATAGTCATCCTGACTATCATTTTCATGAAGGGCAACCGTGCTAGTGAGGAGGACATGTGGGAAGTAGTGACAATGAGGGAGATGTTACCTCACTGGAAGCGCTTTCTTGTTTGGGAGCCCTGGAAGTTCATCACTGAGGATTTGGTACAGAAACAGTACCTGGAGTATCGGCAGGTGCCCAATAGTGATCCTGCTCGCTACGAGTTCCTGTGGGGTCCGAGGACCCACGCTGAAACCAGCAAGATGAGAATCCTGCAGCATTTGGCCATGGTCTGTAGGAGAGATCCCAGGTCTTACCCACATCTATATGAAGAAGCTTTGAGAGACGAGCCAAGGGATGCCGAAGCATGAAATACAGGCCACTGAGGAGACAAGGCGCATGTCCGTCCCATGTGAAATGAAGTGCATTCTTCAATCTGTGTTTGTAGAGAGAAGTTAGCTTGCTGATTAGTAAGAGACCAGAAGAGCATGGAAAATTACAGTATATGCATCATGATGTCTATTCTATCTGGATTCCTTAGAAATTGATATGCATTTTATTTACAAATTTCTGAACACCTGTTCCTTTCTTACAAGATTGAAATAGCTTTCACATCTTATTTGAAAAATGATACCAATTTCACATGTATTTTTAGTGTTGTGATATTAATGGTAGGTTGATTTCTGATGTAATTGTGATTTTGTGTGATACTGATCACACTGGAATTTTCCTCTTTGATTTCAAGTGTAAGAATTTTTGCAATGTTGTAAAACCAACTGCGAAATCTTCCATTTTATATGTGATGTAGAACTATACTAGATACTATAGATACTATAGCATTGGATTGAGAATTTCCTTGGAATTTTGTAAGGATAACAATGAATAATTTCTTCTTTTTTCTTTTACTTAGTATTCTGTATTATTTTAGAAAATATATGCATACCTGCATTTGCTTGGTTTCTTTAATTATATTAGAGAAATTTATCATCAATAAAGAAGTCCATCTGCTCACGGGAACATTGACCCAAACCTTCATTTTGCATGCACCCTTTGTTATGCTCTGTGTCTGTGATGGAGATCGGAGTACTCTAGACTAAACAGGCTCAAACTTATCCTGTTGGATGGTGGAGCAGTACCGCCAATGTCGAGAAGATAAAATATGCCCCATACATAGGTTGATGGAGTCTATGAGTGATACAAACGTTAGAAAGACAAAGAAATGTCCTCAAGGACCTAACTGGCATGAACTGAGGGGTGGAGTCTAGCACAGAGCAGCCTTAGATCAATGCTGAACTGCTGTACTTTGAGGCTTAGCTTAATCACAGTTCCTTCCAAGGGAGTTCATTTTAATGTAGCCCAACCAGATCCTCAGTTGAGGTGCATTTGGTCTGAGATAAAAGCCTGAGAGGATGGAAGACTGCTCTGAGTGGCACTTTTAGATGATGGGGAAGCTGAAAGGAATCTTCACCTGGGACACATATTAGAAGAGTGGCATTACACAGGGCAAGAACCGTGGAATTATACCCAACCTCTTCAAAGATTGCCTGAGACATATGTGTGACTCTTTGGTGAAGTAAGACCCTAAAGTCCCTGGCCAGGTGCTCTGCTCTCTGGTGGGAGTGTCCACTTTCCAAGGTTCTTACAGTGCTCAGTTGACTGTTTTCCTATGAACAACTTCTCCTCCTTAGTCCAGTTTGCTTCAAAGCCCTTACAAGGTGTGTGTGAGGATGTGGCCAGGCACAGTGCTCAAATGGCTGCCTGACCAAGTGGTTCACCCTTCAATGACACTTCTCACTATTCATTAGCAGTGCTGAATCTGGACCAGTTTCCAATTATCTCCTATTTGGAGGAAGTTTATGGTAGTGTTTTCAGGGCAGGTATTTTACTTGAAATTTCATGGAACCGCATCTGTGCTGAGCTAGCTTTGTCACTAGATTGGCCAGGGTTTCTTTTGATTTTTTTTTTATTCTTTTTATTTTTTAATGAGGCAAAGGTTTACTTGGCTCACAGTTTGTAGATATTTCAGTTCATAGTTGGCCAGCTCCAAGGCAGAGTGGCATGGCAGAGGGGCATTGCAGGAGACAAGCAGCAGCAGAAGTAAGCAAGAAGCCACAAGAGACAACCTTTTCCTCTCCCTTATATTTTATCCAAGCTGCCCACCCTTAGTTCAGGTAGTACTCACACTCTTAGTCCTGCCATGGCGCCCCTGGTTTCAGCATTGCATCCTTCACCTCAACATTACACAGCTTAGATCCAGGCACCTCTAAAACACCCCAACTAGGACTGCATGAGGATTTGAGGGTACATCTAGATACCATCCATAACATTCCAACCCCTGGCTCCCCAAAGGTTATACACAACTCTTTATGAAAAGTCATTTACTCCATATCTAAGTGTTACCAAAGTCCTATCATTTTCAGCATTTCTGAACAGTCCAAGTTAAAAGTCTCCTCCAAGATTTAAGGTGAATTCTTAGCTGTGAGCCCCTATGAAAATGAAAAGAAAGGTAAGCACTTCCAACATAGAATGGCACAAGATAAATATTACCACTCCAAAAGGTATAAATAAGAGAACAGAAAGGAATAGGACCAAAGCAAGTACAACTCCAGCAGGACAAACATCAATGCCTATAATTCCATGTCCAGACCTCATTGTCAATAGAAGCCTGGTGAGCCCTAAGTCTAGAAATTCGGTGACAGTGATATGGTTGAAAATAGTTGTTCCAGTGAAAGACAACATGGCAGGGAGGGAAATATGTTTCTTCACCCAAATTTCAGGGACTGTGAATTAGTTGGTCCCATTAGGGATAGATTCTCCAACATCTAATCAAGTAATACATAATATTGGAGAGAATATACTAGAGAAAGGAATTAGTGAGTCACATTTTTGCCTTTTTATTCAGCTTTCCATTTATCTGTAACTTCCCTGAGAAACATGCACACAGATTTTCCAGAAACATCAAAATAGCTTCCAGGGTTTAGGTGATACTAGAACCAGTTACTTATCATCAAATACGTGATCCACATCAGACATTCCTCCTGGTGTTTTAAGACATTTATCACATTGTACTGGTCCTACAAACAAAAATATGTGCCAGTCCCGTTTTATAGATGAAGAACTTCCCAAGAGCCCTGTGTGGTAAATGACAAGGCTAGGACTAGACTTTTAATTTGAGGTCATGAAGAGCCTACTCTGTTTCCATTCCTCCCAGCCTGAACTCAGCTCTGTCTCTGAGTTTATTTCCGTAGTCACAAAAATAGTTTTTAAATCTCCCACGGTGTAGAAAGCCCCTGTGTCCAAAGAATTGAAACCTGGCCTCAGTTAAGAACATAAAAAAGCAGGCAATGGATGCACTTTACTCCATGGGATCTTCCCAGCACCACATGCCCTCCCTCGTGTCACATAGTAGAACCTACCTGTCCCTTTGCTCACCCTGGAAACCCTCCAGTATCAACAGCCTTTTTAACATAAAAGTTAACTTTGGACTAAGATGTTTAGATCCTGGGTTATATGCCTGAGAAGCAAAATGATACACTATCAAGCATTCCCAAATAGATTATAAGTAATTTGGCATGTATCATAATCTACTTTTTGTCTTGGAAGGTAAATTAGGGTAGTTTTTGAATCCATTTTCACATTTTTGTGGGATTTTAATGAAATGAGCATCTCAAAAATATATGTATGTGAATGTTTCTGTAGGTGGTTAAATCTAAAGCTCCCCAGCAAGCTGTGGCTGAGGCAGGACCATGCTTACTACAGCAGTGGAAAGAAAAACGTCTACTACAGCTGAATTCCTCACCTTTCTTCTCCAGTCTCTGGTGTGTCTCTCCCCATATGGATATCATGATTTTACATATGTTTAATGGCCCTCGTCCTGATGTTCAGGCAAGGACTGATGTGCACGGTAGGAAAAATTTATATATTACTAGAGTATACATGAATCCAAAGAGAGGAGAAAATTCTCAGTCTCCTAAGATTGACACATGTACAATTTCTATTAAAGAAGGAACTCGGCTCCATCTGGGACATAATCATCCACACAACGATGTCACATTGGGGATTTATCACTGCTCTTTGTCCCTGGAAGGTTAAACATGTGGCAGCAGCAGTAGCTGGATAAGCCTGGATGACTGGGATCCCATGCTGGTGACCTCATGCAGAGTGTGCACGCCTTCCACCTTGGCTGCTCCACACATCAGGCCACTGTATAGTACTGGTGTTATCAGTGACAGAGGCTGGCAGATATCAAATGATCAGGTCATTCTGTCTTGACTTTTCAATGACATTTGGTCATAGGTACTTGTATGAGAATTAAAATGCTGTGCAAACAAATTTCTTCATATCTATTTACGCTTCCCGTGAGCCAGTGGCAGCCATGCAAGGTCTGGGAAGAGAAACAAGGAGCCAATTCACCCTTCCCAAGAACCAGCTGGCATGCAGGCTGGGTGACAAGAACACTCGCTACCCTGGTAAGCAACTGGCTGATTCGGAAGAACACAGGCTGAGTTGATAGCAACTGAGGTACAAAAACAGCTTATGCTTGTGCTGTTTGATTGACTGTAGACATAAAGCTCATAGTCTGAGCATCTATTTGGAGGATAACAATATGCAAATTAGCGACTATGGGGGATTTCCTTCTGTCTTGTTTTTGAAATCCAATATTGCTCTATTTCAATTCATATCATTGTTTTGTTTCATTAAATGTTTTATTGGTTTTATTCTGTTAGGTTTTGTTTGATTTTATTATGTCTGATGTTATGGGAAGCAATTTTGAAGATAACAAGAGGCATTATGGTAGCCATTGTTGATTTATTATCTTGTTTTGAAGTCCTTTATTACTTTCACTGTTATGTTTTGATTAGTTTTATTCTGCTTTATTTTGTTTTGTTTTATTCTCTTTAAAATAAAATTTAATGTTTTAAAAAATTTATTCATATTTAGTGTTTTTCCCCATAGGCTCATCAGTATACCTCTTCCCCCAATTCTGCTTGGTCTTCTTCAATCTGGACCCCTGACAAACTTTCCAGTGCATTTCCACTGTCCATAATTTTACATGTATTCTTACCTCCATACCCTTCCTTCTTACATATAAAAGACATCACGTTTGCCTTGTGCCACTCTCTTTGTCCTGGGAGAATATCTGCCAACCAAAGTCTTTCTTATCCTCACTTGACTGAGGAGAGGTCATAACAAGAATCTGTTTTCAGCTTGCATTCTAACTGTAGTCAACTCCTCCACCACGGTTTGCATAAGAGCCTCCTAAGGGTTCATAAATTAAAGGCTTGGTGCACAAGCTGTGGGGACAGTGAGCTGAGTAGTAACTTCATAGATGGGACCTACTGGGATGCCTCAGGTCACTGAAGGAGCATCCTTGATGGGGGTTGAGGGATGTTAATTTTCCTTCCTCTCCCTGCTTCCCAGCTGCCATGAAGTAAAGAGCTCCATCCAGAACATCCTGCACCCTAACTTACTGCCTTAGCACAGGCACCAAATCTATGCCTACTGACCGTGGACTGATATAGACTGATACCTCTGAAATCCGAACCAAAATAAACCCTTATTTTTATATGTTTATAATCTGATAAGTTTGTTTTGTTGCAGGAAAAGCAAACAGGGAAAATAGGACAGGATTTTAAATATTTGGTACTGTGAAAATTTGATAGTCATCTGCAGGTGAATGAACCTAGACTTGCATTCTAGATTATGTAACATCAGCCCAAAATAGATGAAGTTCTGATATTATATCTGAAACTATGAAACTAGTATAAGAAAGCAGATGTAAAATGCTTTAGAACATTAGAAGGGGCCAATGTCTTTTTTTTTTTCTTTGAAAAGATGCCAAAAGCACAGATAATAAAAGCAAAAAAAGACAATTGAGTAAATACAGCTAAAGATAGTTTTTAACTCTCAAATTTTCCACATGGAGTGTCTTAACAATTCATCAATGACTGTTTACATTTTCTACTCAGTACTGGCTTCAAAGGTACTTCCTGATTCTAGAC